CAGGAATGTTCAAGGCAGAAAAAAAGTAATTTAAAAGCACCATTGAACTGAATTTGCTTTGCTGCCCCTGGAATAACATTTTATAGGAAAGCCCATGCAGCTAGAGCCCCCTAGGGAGCAGGCCTGGGGCTGATGGTATTATAGTTGGCAGCTTGAGATGACAAATTTGTCTTGAGACCAGGGCATTACTGGGGCTTTGATACGTGTGCGGCATTGATAGAGCTTTACCTTTGGGCTCCCTGTGCCCGAGAGGATCATCTACACACAGATTACCTGCCTCACTTGTGTTAATCTCAGACAGTGGATGAGCGTGGGAGATAAGACACTGGCCCCCAGAACCAACCCTCAGAGAAAGGAACTCTAATAATCACTAACAAAAACAAACAATAGCTATAATAGCTCTATTCACACTGGGCTGTATATACCATTAATTACATTCCTTCTCATAAGAACTCCAGGCGCTCGGTGCTGTTTGATCTTTGTTTCACAGGTGGCCAAAGTGAGATAGAGAATTTGTGACTTGGACAATTCACACAGCTAGTAACACGAAGCCAACATTTCTCTACCCAGGACACCTTGGCCATGCTACTGATTTATCACTCAGGGGCCACATGCTAATTGACTTAAGAGCTCATTCTGCAATGTTTTTTCTTAGCTTTGAGTGAGGCCTGGAATTACTTACAAAGACTCTAGGGGCAGCTGAGTACCCCACAAACCTGTGATACAGTTCACCCCGGTTAGCCCAAGTGATCTGTAGGTCAAAGAATCCGCTTCTGGAGCCCTGCAGCTGATTAAATGCCAGTTCAGATAATTCCCAGAGGATTTGATTTAGGAGTTAATATTTCTGTTGCGTCACTTTCTTCGTGTGACACTAAAGGCCTCAGGACTTGAATTTGCCTGTGCCCCAGCTATCAAACCTACTGAAATTTCTTTCCTTAAAATCTGCTTTGCGTTACATTGTTCTAAGGAAGGCCCACCCTGATTTTCCAGCGGCAGTACTACATCAGAGCAGGGGTTGGCAAACGTTTTCTGTAAGGGACAGATAGTCACTGTTTTAGGCTTTCAAGTCAAGTGGTCTCTGTCGATACTACTCAACTCTGTGTGGTAGCCATAGACCAGTGATAGCGAACCTTTTGAGCTCAGCGTGTCAGCATTTTGAAAAACCATAACTTAACTCTGGTGCCGTGTCACATATAGAAATTTTTTGATATTTGCAACCATAGTAAAACAAAGACTTATATTTTTGATATTTATTTTATATATTTAAATGCCATTTAACAAAGAAAAATCAACCAAAAAATGAGTTTGCGTATCACCTCTGACGCGTGTGTCATAGATTCGCCATCACTGCCATAGACCATACTAAACCAGTGGTCGGCAAACTGCGGCTCGGCAAACCGCGGCTCGCAAGCCACATGTGGCTCTTTGGCCCTTTGACTGTGGCTCTTCCACAAAATACCGACTTCTGCAATGCGCCACAAAGTTTCAATAGCACTGTACGTGCACACCTGCACATGGTATTTTGTGGAAGAGCCACACTCAAGGGGCCAAAGAGCCGCATGTGGCTCGCGAGCTGCGGTTTGCCAACCACGGAACTAAACCAATGGGCCTGTGGCTCTGTTCTAATAAAACTTTATTAAATCAGGCAGCAGGCCATATTTGGCCTAGAGGTCTTCATGTGCTGACCCTGCATTAGAGGGGCACACTTCTTGCACACTTCTAATCTCCTTCCAAGTACAGAGCTCCAGTCACTTAAACTGTCTGGTATCTTTCTGCCCATTGGTTTACTCTGCTCCAGAAAGGTAAAGCCACAGATCAGATTGGTGAAGTCAGAAAAATAAGCTGGGCCTGTCAGACTCAACTCAGCCCCTTTTCCCCTGGCAGTGCCTGGCCCACAGCGGGTGGGAGTTCCGCTGGGTCTTTTCTGAGACCCACAGCTGTCCCCAAACCTATTTCCCCAGAGTCCCTAGTATTATCCTGCAACATGGCTTTTATCTCTGATAAATATATATTTTGCCCCTTATCTGCTTAGTCTTTTACCTTATCTCCCAATACCCTCAAGGATGGATCTCCCTTACTCTGGTATCTCCCTCAAAGATACCAGATAAAATGGTGTATGGTAAATTGTTTCATATGTCAAGAAGCCAAAAATTATATTCTCTCAGTAAAATAATATGGACCAACTTAAAACATGAAGACTCCTTGCTCTTTGGCTGGTTCTCTCATGCTGTGCATTAATTCTATGCATGAATCATAAATTAATTAGCAATGATACAGGTTTTACATACTTAAAATATAAAATTCATTTAATAAGCGAAAGCAATTACAGGTATAAATTCTTTCAAAACATATATCTCATGAGGTCCAGGGTGGCAACGAGTTGGGAATTATTGCTCTAAACTCCCCTCCTGTCTCAGTACCTGATGGACAATCAAGCCTAGGAGAGTCAGTACACAGGGTTACAAAGACAAATACACTGTCCATGTCCTCTTCTTCGGCCTGTCCAATTGTCCGTCACATTGCTCAAAGTCACGCAGAAAGTTGCTAAGAGATACCAGGGATCCTCCGAGCTGAAGTTAGTGTGTTAGTTTGCTCAAGCTGCCAAGACAAACTACCCAGACTGAAATTTACTATGTCCCAGTTCTGGTGTCTGAACTCTGAGATGACAGAGCTGGCAGGCTTGGTTGCGTCCAAGGCTGTGAGGGTGAACCTGTTCCACGCCTCTCTCCTTGGTTCGTAGAAGGCTCTTGTCTCCACATCTGTTCATGTCCTCTTCCCTCTATGCATCTGTCTGTTTGTCCAGATTTCCCCTTTTTATAAGGACACAGGTCATACTGAATGAGGCCCCTCCTAATGACCTCACTTTAATTTGATTGCCTGTCTCCAAGTAAGGTCACATTCTGAGGTACTGGGGTTTAGGACGCTAACAAGAATTTTGGGGAGACAATGCAACCCATAACAATTGCCTAAACTAGAAACTATTGCTTCTGTTTGTAAGGCTGAGCTCTTAACAATGTGAGTTCTACACTTCACCTGTGGCAAGTACTCAACCGTGGGCTGTCTGATCCGAAAGGCGGTTCATTTGTGCTCCACGAATTGTGGGTGGGAAGGAGCCAAAGGAGGAACATTTTGTGGGAACACCTTGTACACCCTGAGGGAAAGCCGTTCTTCCTCCCAGCTGTCGGTTTACCCTCTGGGGCTACTCATCATCGCTGCAGGCTGAGTGTCCCCAATCAATGTGCCTTTTGAATAATGATGCCCCTGCACCCTGAGCTGCAAGACACTGGAGACATTTAGGAAAACAGTCCATCCCCGAAAGTTCTGATTTGCTTCCTTTTCTTTGGCTTCTCTTCCCGCTTTGGCTGCAAGGTGGCCTCCGACGATCCGCAGGCTCTTCCAGTAACTAGCACGTACCTGGTGGGGTCCCGCCCCCTGAGCGGCCCCGCCCCTGGAGTCCT